TTAAAGTATGGTAATGACCCTAGGCAAAAACAAACTTAAAATCCTCTAGACTGTTCAGTATATGTAGCCTGTGTAAGAGTAAAAAAAAACCCATTATTTTTCAAAGTATTAAAACTCATTCTGGAGGGAAAAAAAGAAACTGCATGATCACCTTGAAAATACTCAAAGGGGGTTTTAGGAGAGGAAAAGTTTTTTCCTTCTCTTTTACACAACAAGAAAATTCCAGAGAGATAATCTGTCAGCACCAAGATACTTAATGAAGATTGGTGTAATGACTTGAATGCTCTTTCCCTGTTTGTCACAGCTATGAGGGTTAACAATTAACATGCTCTTGTTCAGTACAGTATGTATTTCTCTTTGGTTGAGATCTTTATACACAGACAGTCAAAAGAAATTTTTTAAAACCCCAAAACACAGAACCCCCCCAAAATAAAAATCCACCCTGCCAAAAGACAAGTAGCATGAAGGAAACCAGATCCTAGTACTGAAAGGGCGCTGATATCTCCATCCTCATTATCACAGGGACTCTGATTGTTGACTTAAGGTGACCTCTGTCATCTACAACAAAATTTCCAAGCAAAGAGCTAAATCAGCTGATGAATTAGCACAAATTCTCAGATCACTCTGGCTGGCGGGAGAGGGAGAAATAAGAGAGGAAAAAGAGAGAGATATCTTCAGATTTCAGCTTTACTCTAGTATTCAAGTTCATCTGTGTTGCCCTCAAAATTACAGTTGCTAGAGCTGCTACTGCCTTCAGTTTTGCTCACTGCCAGTTGAAATGCTGCTCTTCCCATCACAGACAGCCGCTGCTCTTGCCAACAGCATGAGAAAGGAAAAGCAACTTCCAGGTGGCAAACTGTCACCTCCAGTGGCAAGAGCCCTTGGTCCAAGGCTTCCATGGCAGAACTGCTGTCCTCCATCCATCTCTCTGCCATTCCACATGATGCTGCCTTTAGGTCTGGGGAAAAATACCTTGAAAACATCAGACACAGCCCACTTCCACAAGCACAGATGCACAGGAACTGCAGTCCCAGTACAGACCATTGGGAGTGGGTAGCAAAAGTGAAGCTAACTAAAGCTATAGTCAGAGAAACATTCCAAGAGAGCTGTATGAACCATGGACGTGGGTCTGAGCTGGTGGAAGGTGATGTGGTGTATGGCGCTGAGTGATTCTAGCTGCTAGGTAAAATAAGTATGCTACTAGTTCAGACAGAACAGTAAAACACCCTAAACAATACTAAACAATACAAAACAAAACCACCAGAAAAAGGGCTAAACTGAGGTAAATAGTAATGTCAAAGGATTAATAGGATCCACTGGGATTCCCGGCCCTTCTTTCTCTGGCATGTGTGATGATTGTCTGGTAAGTTGCTGTGGCCTTGAACATAGAGTTTAAGAGCTTCTTATTTTACCTTCAGGAAAGCACAAGAGCAATTAGGGGTCAAGCTGGCTGTAATAATTTGTTGGATGCTTTTAGTGTGTTTACCCCTATTTCTATACTGGAGGGAGAAATAGGAAAAATGTCTATTTAGTCACTATTGGAGAGAAATTATCTATTGTCCAATTTTGAGACAATTACTAAAATTTGAAGCATGTTTACAGAAGGAAATATCTGGAACAAGTAATTTTGCAGCATGACTGAAACAGTTTCTGCATCCTTTCCCAGTCACTCAGTTCTGGGATCATGGTGCAGGCAGCTCTTGTGAACAACAAGCATCAGCCCTGCACCTCTTAGAGAGATTTCAAGAGGAGAAGAAATAACGAAATAGAGAAGGCAATAAAGAGACGTGTTTTTAACCAAGGATGGATGTGCTTCCAAAATTCAGGCCAGAATTTACTAAGTTCAGATTATTTGTAGGAAACAAATGACAGAGAGATGGCTCTCTCTCCTTATCTAAATATGTTTGCTCCAAACAGGAAGTTTGGAGCAAACATATTTAGAAAGAACAATTTAGGTTTCTCTGCCATAAATTGTGGATGCAAACACACTTTCCACTGTGCTGAACTGCTGTGGAAAGCGTGGAAGGGAAGGTGGTAATTCATTTTTGCAGGCCAGTAATAAGGTAGTCATTGCTGAAGAATGTGATGGAGAAATTGCCTAAGACAGAAAAATTTAACAAGCAGGTCTGGAGAAACTGGCATACAGTGAAAAGCTTAACAACCTGCAGGCAGAGATGCACATGGTGTCTCTCCCATATGGGGAGTAGTGGAGGGGTCACCTACATCCTTCCATGTGCTCTCAAAACCATATCAGGTTATTTGACCAGAGCATGCAAAAGGAGGGAGGATTAGGTCCTCTCCATTTGCTTTAGCTCCTTCTCTCTAAAATGGGGCTCCAAATATCCCATCCCTCCACAGGACTGAAAAAAGATCCTGTGAAACCTGTGCTGTGTGCAATAATCAGAAGGATTTGGTATTTTTTAACAGTTATCATGGATGCAGGAAGTAAGACTTGAGTTTCCCACCGGGAGTGAAAAGAAGGTAATTTATTAACTACTTCATCATGATTGCTCTTTGCTGCCTGGCTTGGTTGAGCTGAAGGAAGTCCTGAAAAAACATTTATTCCAAGAAAGGTTCCAAAGCTGACAGTCGTTCCAAACTTCCACTGGGACATTGAGAGAGGGATCTGGAATGTATATGCAGTCCTGGGATCAGGAGGTTTTTAATGGCTAATGCCTTTTCTGCAGATGTACAAATCTCATCTGACATATGTATACTCCACGTGGATCTTATTTCCTAGTAATTGGAGTGTAACTGATAGGTTGCTGTGCTTCTTGAAAAGTGTGTGCCTTGATTGGAAAGTATTGGGGTCTTCAATGCCTTTAAGGGGGAATAGAAAACTTGTATCTAGACAGAGATATCACCGTTTGGGATTGTTAATTAGGTGTTAACAACTTAGATGAGTGTCACAGACATCTTTTGTGACAAATCCTTTCTTTAGGATTTTTCCCTCTTCTGGAAGGCTGAGGCCCCAGAAAGAGAATGTAAACAATGGTTATCTGCTGCTGTGGCATGCAACAGGTGCACCTGTGATTGGCCCATGTTCCGCATTTACAATTAAGGGCCAATCAGAGACTGAGCTCTCTCTGGGAGAATCAGAGAGAGCTCCTTTGTTGATTCATTCTTTTTCTATTCTTAGCTTAGAGGCTTCTGAGACTTTTCTCTCTATTCCTTTTAGTATAGTCTTAATGTATTTTATATCATAAAATAATAAATCCAGCCTTCTGATCATGGAGTCAAGATTCTCGTCTATCTTTCTTCACTCCTGCAACCCTTGCAAGCCCAGCAACAGGTGGGAAAGCATTTTCTGGGGATTAGTGACCATCTGGGAGAAACCAATGGCCTAAGAAACCCTGATCATTATAGGGTTTTAGATCATTATAGGCCTGTATAGGCCTTGTTCTTATTCAAGGTCATCAGTAGGGCTGTAGGGTGTGGCTGGATCAGAATTTAAATATCCGTTCAAAGGCACCTTCTGACCCCTGAGAAGTTTGTCCCTGCTTTGCAGCCAGCTGCAAATAAACTGGTATTAGTGAGAAGGTTTTGAAAGCATTCAGAGACCCTGTTTGAATGAGGGATAAAAGGATCACAGATCAGGTAAGCTTTAATCTCTTCAGTTTATAATATCCATCAATTAATTTATTTTACAATAAAGGCTTTACCCTGGAGCTCATTAGAAGCAGTTTTGATGGTGTCAGTCCCCAAAGATGATAGTACCTTGGTGTCTCAGATTTCTGCCTAGCATATCCACTAGCAAGAAATGTTTCTCAAAAGAGGTGGAAATTGCAGGATAACCCACCCAAACAGGGAAATTTTATTGCTTTGGTATGAAATTTAGAAGTTTAAATTTTCAGCAGTTTTATATACATGCTTTGTATTCATACATATAGGTGTGTGCACCCAGAAAGAGAGAAAGAGGGAAACAATGTCATGACAATGAGGTCCACAATGCTCTAATCATTCTGGACCAAATGGTTGGGTTATTTCACTATGTCATGTCTCTCCGGCTCCCCAAGACAGGGGATGGAGCATGGCTTTGGGTTTTTAAGCAGGCCTGATAATTGCAAACATCTTCCTGGCTTTTTGCCTTTATCTTGAAATCGGGAGCTGAGGTGAGAAACGCCTTGGGCTCATCCCCGGCTCTTCGGTGCTGGGTGTGGCTGAGGGTTGGATCCGGGGACATGCGGAATCGGCAGCAAGCCACAGCGAGCGCTTGGAAGCTCAGGCCCGGGGTTGGAGGGGGCCGAGGGCAAGGACTGGGGGTCCGGGGCAGCCCCACCTCCCCGCCGGGCTTGTCCCACGCTCGCCCGGTGACCGGTGACGTAGGAGGAGCACGAATGGCATTGGCGAGCGGGCCGTGGCATAGCCAATGGAGGCGTGAGGCGGGAGGGGCAGAGGCGCCGGGGATCTACCGGGCACCAGGTGACGTCAGGTGCAGTCCGGTCACCATTGGCAGCTCGCTCGGCAGCGGCCCGGCAGGGACCCTGCTGGCTTCAGGCAGCTGAGCAGAGATGGTCCCCGAGCAGCCTGTGGGGAACACCTTGGGGAAACAGCTGTCCTGCAGCAGCACATGAAGGTCCACACCTGCAGAGATCCACCTGCAGCGTTTGGAGGAGTCCAGTGTCATAGAAGGTGGGTGTGCCTGAGAGAGAATGTGACGCTATGGAGACACTGTGCTGGAGCAGATTCCTGGCAGACCTTGTGACCCTGAGTGCAATCCGCACTGGAGCAGCCCGTTCCCGAAGGAGTGACCCCATAGAAAGGACCCATGCTGGAGCAGTTGTGAAGAACTGCAGCCCACAGAAAGGACCCATGATGAAAACATTCGTAGAACACTGTCTCCACAGTAAGTGGGACTCCACACTGGAGCAGGGTGAGGAGGAAGGACCAATGGACAATGCAAAATGAACTGATGACAATCACATCCTGCTGTGGGGTGTGTTGCTCAGAGCCTCAGCATGGCTCTTTCATAGCTGTCAGGCATAGTGGAAGGGTGACGATCCCCCATCTTTCCAGCTTTTACAGCGACAGGAAGGAAGCATGGGGGCAGGAGTCAGAAGTGGAAGAGATCCTGATCTAAAGGGTGAGCTCAGCCCTGGAGATGGAGCAGCTCAGTGTGCTCAAAATGTGTCAGGGATGTCAGGGGTGTTACTTAGTTCCTCCCTTCCCTTGTCTCGCCAGTGAAGAGCTCACATCTCTCCACCTATCCCTGATTTGTGGCCTGCACCATCACACATCTCACTCAGCAACCCCACAGTGGTCTGGCCTTGGGTTGTGACTGCCCTGTCAGGAATAGACACTGGCCATGGGGAGATGTGGAAGGGGCTGTCAAAGGACTGGCTTCTCCTGACATGCCAGATCGAGACCAACCAGAGTCCAGGAAAAGGAAGAGCATCTGCCTGCAATAGGGAGTATCTGTAGTGCACAGAGGAGTTTCCTGAGAAAAGCTCCTGAGGGGGGAAGAAGGGTGAGAGACACAGGAACCATATGTATCAGAAGAAGTTCATAGCTGTTTAATGCAGTTGTTTTCCAGAACAAAATCGTGTTGGTGCTTATGGGTCAGGGGTGGGGCATGAAGTAAGAACGGAGAGCAAGCAGCTGTTGCTGTGTGGGCAGCAAGGCCTCAAATGATGAATTCCTGGGTCTCCCATGTAGCCTCGTTACCTTTCCTGCAAAGACTATGTGTAAGCTGTGGTGACAGTCAGGGACTTCACCCCTACAGAGCTGCTGCAACCCCTGAACCGACCTATATGCCCATAAATCTTACAGCAGGAGGATGGGAGGGAGAGCTCACCTGCGCTTCCACCACCAAAAACCCCCAGCAAATGCTGTGGCCACAAGAACCAGCACTGCAATGGTGATACTGATGGTTGGAGCTGCACTGTGGTTTTCTGGGACAGGGAGAGAAGAGGGCAACTGTGTGAGGGTGGCAGCGCCAGTCAGGAGCTGCCACCCTCACAGGGCTCAGGGCTGGTATCTGCAGCCTGCACCCCATCCCCCACGGGTGGCACCTACCCCATGGGATGAGAAGGCTGCGGGTGCCCAGGCTGTGGTGGCGCACACGGCAGACATAGCTGTGCCCATCACGGGGGGCCACGGCCAGGACGCTGCGGAGCTGGTAGGTGAGGTCAGCGTTGGGCAGGACGGTGCTGGTGTTGAGCGCCGGGCCCGGAGGCACCTCCTGGCCATCCCGCAGCCAGGCCACGCTGATGGGACGGGGGTAGAAGCCAGTGACATGGCAAACAAGCAGCAGCTGGTCTAGGCTGGGGGTGCGGGCGAAGACCGTGGCCACAGGCAGCTCTGGGGAGTGAGAGCAAAGGGGTGGGGCACAGCTGGGCCCCAGTGTGGGGGCCTGTGGGCTGGCTGTTGCAGGGTCAGGGTGGTCTCACCTTGTCTCTCTAGAATTTCCTTCCCATACCTCTTCAGGGTGAGGAAGTTGCTCTGGCATACCCAGATAGAGAGAAGGTGCTCCAGGAGTATTCTGACAGACTTCTGCCTGTTGAGGCTCTTGCTGACCAGCTCTGCCATCTGGGATGACTGCCGGGCCTCCCAGCCCTGTTTATCTACCTCAAAAGCTACGAGGTCTCTGCCATCCCAGCCAACATTCAGGAAGCCCTGGCTGGTCGTATTGGGGTACAGCACACAGCCTGCACGGAGCTGAACCACCAAGGGGTCTGTCAACAGCAAAGCCAATGGACAGGTCCCATGAGTGGGTGGAACGTGGGTGGCATGAGGTGGGATGTGTCTGAGAGCACATACAGGGATGCAGTGGAAAGCAGGGTGCAATGGGCAGCAGGGGGTAAGGCCATGCTTCAGGAGACCCCGGACACCCTGCAAGCCCTCAGGCTCCTTGGAAGAATGGAGTGGAGTGGTATGGAGTGCTTGCTTAAAAAGAATTCTGTCCCCAAAGTATTTGCCCCAGTTTTCTCTTTCATGATCTTTGCTGTGTCAGTCCTTCAGCTCCACTAAATTTGGTGGCAGCTCCCTGATATACACAGGGGTTCCTTGTGCTAGATGGCAGAAGCCCCAAGGGGTATTTTTGGTCTGCTGCCCTACCCACTCCTGCTAGTCATATTCCCCAGCAGCTGCAGTGTTTCAGCAGCTGTTGCACCCTGTGAGATCCCCCCAAATGCCATCCTGGTGGGGAGGAGGCCACAGCCAAAACCTGAGGAGAAGGACTAGGGGTGTGGCAGGGCTCATTTCTGTACTCACAGTGCTGTTTTGTCTGCTGAACTGTGTCGTGCACAAATCGGATCATATTGCGCAGAGCAATTTTGTACTGGGACATCATCTTTTCCCCATCATCTTCAGCTGCAGCCTGGCTGACCCAGGGCCAGTGGAAGTGGATGCTCCAGTTGGCCGGATCCAGTGTAAAGATGGCTATGTCCCCTACGAGTGCCACACATGACACCTCAGCAGAGCTGATGTTGGCGAAGAGGCTAGTCAGGAGGTACTGGATAACCTGTGGCTCTGCTAGGAGAGAGGATGGAGACAGGAAAGGGTGCAGGAAGGAGATGAGTGGAGGTGCTAAAGGGGAAACACGAAGTGGAGGTGCTGGAGGGGAAACAGGGGATCCAGACTAGATAATAAGAAAGAAATTTTTTAAGTGCGGGGTAGTGAGACACTGGTACATGTTACCCAGACATATGGTGGATGTCCATCCCTGGAAACATTCCAGGCCAGGTTGTTTGGGGCTCTGAGCAGGGAAGGTGTTCCTGTCCATGGCAGAGGGGTTGGACTTAATGGCCTTTAAAGGTCCTTTTCACCCCAAATCCTTCTGTGCTTCTATGATTCTATGCTCTTCATCCTGCTCAGGGTTGCTTTCCTGTCTGAACTTCCTCTAACTTCACTGCTCTTTTTCCTTCTCTATTTTTCTTTCAGCAAAGTGGTTGTCTCCTGCAGAGGATTTTAGGCATTTTGTGCCCTCCTTTCCATGCCTCCCTCCTGGCCACAGCTGCTGTATTACTGTGCAGAGCAGATGAAAGGGCACCTTGCTGCTCGTTTGGAGTGATGTTTCCCCCCAGGAGAAACACCTGTGCAAGGACCTATATCTGCCACAGATCTGGACATGGTACAGAGGATATGGAGGATGGTTGATAGAAAAGGGCATTTTGTCCAGATTTGGGGGTCCCTGATAGGCCCAGGACACCAGCCAAGCCCAGAGATCAGTCCTGACTTTTTGTGTCTGATGCTGCCTGCCCCGGAAGCGTAAGGTCTCGCAGGGTTGTGGTAAAACTCTCTGTGTGACAGCAGTGCCCAAAAAGCCCTCTGGCAGGTGCAGCTCCCTGACGAATGAGAGGCTGCTGGAAGAGGCCCTCAGCACCATGTGGAGCTGAGATCTGCCTGGCACCCATGGGCTCCCTGCAGGGGGAGGACATCTTGCAGGGTAACTCCACACCCAAGGCCTGGCTGGGGACCACTGTTGTCTCTTCTGCTTGTGTGCCCAAGGCCTTGTGTTGGAGCTGGTGAGGCAGAAGTCCTGAGCTGGAGGCAGGAAGGGTGGGCAGGGACAAGGCATGTTTGGGTGGTGCACGATGGGAGGTGGCCCTCTGATGCTGAGAATCATCCACCCCCCCGATATGGCACAGTGGCCTGGCCATGCCTCCCCTGAGCAGAACTTGTGGGGTTCTCTGACAGGGTGGGGGTGGTAAGAGTGGTTGAGGTGAGCCAGGGCTCCCACTTACCCTCTGGGTCTGCCCACATCCCAGGGAGGAGGATCGGGAGAAAGAGGAAGAGGAGGAGGTGAGGGGGCTGCATGGTGCACGCGGCAAGGCTGGAGAAGCAGCGGCAAGTGACTGTGGGAGGAGGAAGAACCTGTGGGAACCTAAGCTTCAACCCAGCCCAGCAGTCACTGCGGTGGCTCTCCACCAATTGGAGAATCAGTGTGTCAAGGGAGGGGCCCAGAGGTCCCAGGCTGAAAGCTGGGGATGTGTGGGAGGGACAGAAGCTGAAGTAAGGTCTTGAGCACGAAATGCCCTGACAGGCTGGGGCTGGGGAAATCTCAGCCAGAAGGAGAAGGTGGGGAAAGAGAGACCAATGAAACAGGACTAGGAAAATAGGTATTCAAGCATCTAAGCTGGGTTTTCCTGACTCCCCCTCCCCACCTGTTGTCCTATCCCCGTTCTTGTGGGACGCATCAGCACCAATGGAGGTGACGATGGCTTTTGGATTTCAGCTGTCTTCTTAACCCCTACACAGGGAGAAGGGATACCCCCTCCCTCTCCTGGCACCTCCAGCTCAGGCTGCTCCTGCGTCACTTGCCTAATTCTGGGGATGGGGCTCCCAGGGAGGAGGCAACAAGCTGTTCCACCTACACCAAAGCTGTAGGACACTGCTGAGGAGCCCCTACTCTGCTCTAAACACCTGGGGGTGGGGCAAGCAGCTCCCCTTTCCTTCCCAGCAGCTTTGATGAGGAATCCAGTCCCCCTCCCCAAGAGCCCCTTGTGCATGGGAACAGAAATGGTGGCAGCCATGCCCCTGCTCTGTCCCCATTGGCAGCAGTGCCCAGTGCTGGAGGCATCATGGGGGGACCAGAGCCAGCCTCTCCCCACAATGTTTCCAATCGACTCCTCTCAACTCCTCCCCTCAACATGCAGTTTCTCTTCCCCTCTTTTGGGTAGTGCCTGCCCTGGGGGCAAAGGCAGAACCAAAACCACAAGGAAGGGCAAGTTTGAGGAGTTCAGCTCAGTAGTGTCCAAACACTGAATACTTTTGTTTCCATGGAGCTTTTGAATACTGTGGTCCCAGAGAGAAGTAGGGATGCTGTGGTGGTCTGGTAGGCACAGAAATGACAAAATGACACCAACTTCCCCAGCAGCATGACGCAGGGGATGTCCAGCTATGGCATCACAAGGTCCACATCCTTCCCACTAGTCCTAGACCCAGAGGAGACTGTTTGGCTGTCAGGATGGCAAAGTGCAGCCATGGGGCAGCCAGGGAGGGAAGAGACAAGGGGGCTTTTGTTTCTGCAGTCCTGTGAGGTGATCACTTGTGCCCATGGCTTCCCCTGAGACGACTGCTGGTCACTTCTTGCTGAGCAGCTGAGAGGCCATACGCAGCCCTCTGTCCCGTGAGTTGCCTGAGTTGCTCTTAGGACAGGAGCAGGCACCTGGCTTGTGTGGGTGGTCACAATGTGTCCAGCCCCCACAGAAATTCCTTCCATGTCTCCCACTCTCTCAGTGGATCTGCTTTACAGTTCTGCTTTAGCCCTTCCACTTCTCTGTTGAATGTACTTCTCATGTCAGGAGTTTTTTTCACTTCCTTTTTTGCTCACAACTTCTTCCTCCTTCATATTTTCACTTCTCTGGTCTGGAAATGACCCAAGGAGACAGGGGACTGACTGTAGGTCCACACAGTCCGTTGGTCCTCAGAGTCCTCTCAAGGGACCATGGTCCTCAGAGTCACACCCAGGTTACCACTGGTCTCCACAGTTTCCTCAGCTGACATCAGTCGGTCCTTACATTCCTCTGAAGTGATTACTGGTCCTCACTTCCCCCCTGCCCTAGAGCACTATTGGTCTTTGAGGTTCTCATGTGGCCACTGGTCCTCAAAGAACCCACAGGTGACATTGCTCCTTACAATCTCCCCTGAGGTGGAGTCTGTAACCCCCCCCAAGCTGGGCCTGGGGGAGTTGGAGTGGAGGGAACAGGGATGCAGTGCCTCTGGGTGCCATACTGGGCGTGTGGGTGAGCAGCAGCAACCACTGCACTGGGCTGTGATGGGGTGCCTTAAGAACCCTCTAAAATGCCTGGATGGGGTGTGTTATTGTAAGGTCTCTTAGGGGATGTGAGCAAACACTTGCAGACACCCCTCTGGTACCAGCTGTTTGTGGGTGTGGAACTGTAGGGTCTCTTGGGAGGTCATTCACATGAACAGATTTCCTCAACAGGTTTCCTGACTGGCTGCACCTGATCTCCAGGTCTGCCTGGTATCATGAGTGCTGCAGGATGTTCCACTCTGCTTGGGAGAGGAATTGCCCCATTTGCCCTGCGGGTGCCAAGGCCACAGGGAGGCATGCCCACACCTAAGTGTTTCATCTGCCTGTCCCAAGTCAGCAGGAGCTGGGAGAGGCTTGGTGTCACTCCTCTTGCAGTGAGTTCCTTGAGCCATGTGATGCCAGCAGGTGACACTGGCTGCTAGGGAAACACAGTACTTACCCCAGCATTGTTGTTTCCAGGTTCTGGCCAGGGCGGAACAAACACCATTGGATTTGTGATGGATATGGCCACAAGACAGCCAGGTTTTCCGGCTTGCCATTGCTGCCAGACTTATCCTGGGAAACTGCAGGAAGTTGTCCAGTGAAACCAAACCTTTTGAAGCTACATGTTCAAGTTGATTGGGAGCATGAACTACATGCCTTCCTGTGTGTGTGAACTCTGCTATGTTTCATGGGACATGGGCTTCTTTTTTTCTCCTTTATTGGGAGCCTTGGGGATACTTTACCGCCATGTGCTCAGTTGTTTATTTCCATGCAATATCTGAGAACATGTTCATATATGCACAGGCACACATGTACTGTATTTCCCCGATGCCTTGGTGCTTCCTGCAATTTAGTGCCTATAATTCAGTGGTGTTTCAACTTGCATACATGGCTGATCAAAACCTCTCCAAGCCCATTCAACTGCTAAGGAAAGGCAGATTACTTAGTGAAAATATGAATGGTTTATTTTCGTTTCATACACATATGCAACTCCCACACATTACATCAGAGTTTCAGTATTACTCAGCACTTTGTAAAGCCATTTCTGACCAGGTTCTGTTAGTCTATGTGGAACAGTTCAGTCTCAGCACAAATATTTCTGGAATATGGCTAATAAAGGCAATTTTTAGGAAAAAAAATTACCAGAAAGTGACAGTAGAAGGGGACATCTTTCCACCTTCTGACAAAAGTGTTACTGAAGCAGAACCAGGAGGATTTGCCATTGGGTATTGAGGTGCCCTACAGCATCAGTGGGTGGACTGGCCAGTGCCACAAGCGAAGAGACCATCATGTGTAACAAGGGAGGAAGTCACAGATGTGCACTTACATCTGTTTAGAAAATTCAGGTGAGTCAAAAGCTCAGATTTCTCTCGCCAGGTTTCTTTTGTGCATCTCTGAATCAAGTTAGTCTTGCAATTGGCAATGCCCAAAACTTAGGTAAAGCAGAAAAAGGCAGTTCTCGTTACTCTGTAGGCCGTGGGAGGGAATGGGAACTGTTAGCTCTCTTCTGAGCTAAGCTTCTTTGCTCAGGATGGAGTTCCTGGACTCTGATTCCTCAATCTGCTGGTGCTTTCTGAAACAAGAGGGAGATGGGTGGATGCTGCATGGCAGAGACCTTGTGGGAGTGCAGACAGCATCTGCCAGGATCCAAGCAAGAGCTTTGCTGCTCAGTGCAGAAATCCCCACAGCATTCCTTTCTCTCCTCTCTCAATGCCGCTCCATGGGGCAGACAGGGACTGACCTTTGTCTCCACACCCAAAGCACCGACATGGCAGCTACAGCCATGGCTGCAAGCAGCCCGGCCATGAGCCCTGTGATCAGCACCACTTCTGAGTTCCCTGGGAAACATAAGGAGAAGCTGCCATGAGCTTTCTGGGGTTTGCTCCATCTTGTGGTGCGGGGTGGCTCAGGACCCCCATCTCATCCCCCACGGGTGGCACCTACCCCATGGGATGAGAAGGCTGCGGGTGCCCAGGCTGTGGTGGCGCACACGGCAGACATAGCTGTGCCCATCACGGGGGGCCACGGCCAGGACGCTGCGGAGCTGGTAGGTGAGGTCAGCGTTGGGCAGGACGGTGCTGGTGTTGAGCGCCGGGCCCGGAGGCACCTCCTGGCCATCCCGCAGCCAGGCCACGCTGATGGGACGGGGGTAGAAGCCAGTGACATGGCAAACAAGCAGCAGCTGGTCTAGGCTGGGGGTGCGGGCGAAGACCGTGGCCACAGGCAGCTCTGGGGAGTGAGAGCAAAGGGGTGGGGCACAGCTGGGCCCCAGTGTGGGGGCCTGTGGGCTGGCTGTTGCAGGGTCAGGGTGGTCTCACCTTGTCTCTCCACAGCTGCCCTCCCATAGTGCAGCAACATCTCCATGTCATCGAGACAAGTATAATTGAAAAGAGTTTCCACCAGCTCACTCAAGGCGGTGTAGTTCTGGAGAAAGGACTGGACATACCGTGACAACTCGGTGTCCTGGTAGAGGGTCCAGGTGAAATTCTTTGTGTCGAAGCTGAGGAAATCCTGACCATTGTAACCCACATAGCCAAAGGCCAGGGAGGTTCTGTTGGGGTACAGCGTGCAGCCTGCTGTGCACTGAACAGCAAAGGGGTCTGGCGGGGCAAAGAGGAGAGAGAGGTTGCGTGAGGGGCTGGGATTTCCTTCCTCTAGACATGGTCATTGTCTCCTACACAGCGCCAGCACTATCAGATCCTTCCCCACCTCCCAGCTGCTTTTCAAGAAAGGGGATGAAGTGAAAACTGAGCACTTACAGGGGATGTCCTTTTGTGTGGCCCCTTCATTGATTAGATGGTTGAACTGCTGCAAATAGATCTTAAGCAGGTTTTCAATGGTGTCCCAGTCAGCACGGGGAAGGGCTGGGCGCACCCAGGGCTGGCAGAAGTGGATGGACCATGTGTGTTTATCAAGAGAACCAAGTTCGATGTCTTCCAGCAGGCCCAGCCCCTCTGTGTCTGCAAATGAGGTGTTTTGGAAGGTGGTAGTCTGGAGCAGCCGGACAGTGAAGGTCCCTGCATGAGACAAGGGTTGACAGGGATGGGACTGGGAAAAGAGGGCTGAGGAAAGTGGAGGAACTGAGGGATGGGTCCTTGATATTGCAGGGATCTGTGGGTTCCTCATAAGCCCCTTACAGCATTTGCAGCCCCAGTTCCCATCTTCTGCACCCACATGGGGTGGCTGCATCCCTGCTGGGGAGGAGGTGTGAAGCCAGGGGACAAGGAGGAGTGAGGAAGCAAGTGCCCAAGGTGGGTGTGAAGCAAGAAGCCTCTCCCCTATGGAGTCCCATGGAGGTTGATGTGTATGAGCCAGGGGTCCCACTTACCCTCCAGGTTTGCCCATGTCTCAGAGAGGAAGAAGAGGTAGAGGAGGAGGGAGAGAAGGCAGCAGCAAGGGGACTGCATGATTTCAGCAGTGGGTCCCAGAGTGTGCAGCAGTCAGTGCAGCAGCAGGAAGAATAGACTGTTGAGAGATGTGGCCTCAGATGTCTCCTCAGGCTGGCTCTGCATGGGCAGCTCTGCTGGTGCTAATGGCCCTGGCAGCCAATGGGGCTGGCACTGAGGTTTAGGGGAGGGCTCTGAGCTTCCCACTTGGAGTGAGCTGGGGCATCTTGAGTATGGCTGTGAGTGCTAGGAGAATTTGATTGTGAGCAAAGTTGTTCTATTGCATGCAGGAGCAGTCCCTCATGGCTGCAGCAGTACCTTGACAATCAGGGTGATGTGGGTGAACTGAGTCCTCTGTTCTACCTCCCTTTCAGGTCAGTGTGTCTCTTGGCCATGTGCTGCATCCATTGCCCTGATAGGAATATCCTTTACTTATGTCTGGCTTATCTGGCCCTGCATAGAACAGACACTGCCACCTGCTCTGCCCTGCCAGGTGGGTTCACAACAACATGGCTGTTTTTCTCATAGGGCAGGCAAGCCCTATTCTGACCCCAGGGCCTCATGCCTGGGCTCTATGTGCCCCAAGGCTGTGCACTGGTCCCATGCCTCTTTGTCACCTCCCAACCATCCGACAGCCAGGCCACTCTGATGGGCCACAGGTATATAAGCCAGTGATGTGGCAAACCTGCAGGAGAACTGGGCCATGGCCTTGGAAAGCTCAGAGGGATAAGAGAGTGAAGGAGAAAAGTTGATGGTTATATCCCTTGACACCTCAGCACTGCTGGTCTCATCCTGGGGAAGGGACTTCCCAGAGTTGAGGCAATGAGCACTTCCAGCCTGGATCACAGCTGTGGGGTCAGGGATGGCTGAGGAAGCAGTTCTCCAGGAGCTCTTCTTGGGGTGCAAGAAGTGAAGGGAGTGGAGCAGCTATAGTGTGGTGGTCCCCAAGGGGAGAGATAGGCTGCAGGCCCTGGAAAGGACTGTTTCCCACTGACAGTCATCAGACTCCTGGAGCAGTGGCAGTGACAGGATCTTCAAGCTGGGATGAGGATGGGACCCCACCATCAAGCCCATTCCAGGGAGTTGCAGTGGATATGCAGCTTCCCCATTTCCAAAGAGCTCTATCCAATGCCATGGGATCTGGGAGTTGCCTCTATGTTTCCCTGCACCTCACAGTGTAGGGGAGCCTGAAGTCTGCCCTAAATGCCCCAACAGGGGAGGGTCTGAGGATTGGCTGCAGCCTAGCAACTCCCCTTTCCTTCCCACCAGCTTTGCTGAGGAATCCAGTCCCCCTCCCCAAGAGCCCCCTGTGCATGGAAACAAAAATGGTGGGAGCCATGCCCCTGCTCTGTCCAAATTGGCAGCAGTGTCCAGTGCTGGAGGGACAATGTGGTGACCAGAGGCAGCCTCTCCCCACAATCCCATATCCACTGCTCCTCCCTCACCTGCAGTTTCTCTCCCCCTTTCCTAGGGGTGCCCATGTTGAGGGTGAAGGCAGAGCTACAACCATAGCCAAGGGGAAGTCTGAGGTGGGGTGCCCTGATAACAACCAAACACAGCAGAGGTATCCATGTTAGTATGTGACCCATTCAAGCACAACTGGGATCAGGTGTCACTGTTCCATGTCACCATTTTTGGTGTCTCCAGCTGTAGGGACATGGGGAAGGCCCATATGTGGATGCTGCAGGATGAGCTCCAGCACCCCATGACACTGAGTCATATATGGTTACAAAAGGACACCGAACCCCTTCCCTTCCATGGAGCTGTCCCAGAGAGAAGTAGGGATGCTGTGGTGGTCTGGTAGGCCCAGAAATGACACCAACTTCCCCAGCAGCATGACGCAGGGGATGTCCAGCTATGGCACCACAAGGTCCACATCCCTCCCACTAGTCCTAGACCCAGAGGAGACTGTTTGGCTGTCAGGATGGCAAAGTGCAGCCATGGGGCAGCCAGGGAGGGAAGAGACAAGGGGGCTTTTGTTTCTGCAGTCCTGTGAGGTGATCACTTGTGCCCATGGCTTCCCCTGAGATGACTGCTGGTCACTTCTTGCTGAGCAGCTGAGAGGCCATACGCAGCCCTCTGTCCTGTGCAGGTGCATGTGACAAAATTCAAATAACATGCAGCCCCCTATACCTCAAGATGAGGTCCAGAGTACACAATCCTCTTATATCTACTCATATTTCATTTCTCCTTACTGGTGGAAATAATCACTAGATACAAAACTGCTAAATCCCACAAACTCCACAGAAACAAAGACAAACCCAAAACAGAGGGTACTCTCCCCTTTCAAGATGGCATCTGCCACAGACAACCATGTTTAGGGAGACAAAGGGAAAATGCAGTCAGCCTTCCTCCCTGCTTATCTCTCCAACAGCAAAGGTGGCTGGCACTTTCCACAGGTGATACTTAGCAAACAGCTACAACTCATGGAGAGACTTTGCCACACTGGGGCAGAGGACAGCAAGGCAAAGCAAGGCAAAGCAAAGCAGCTGGGCTGGGTGACTTTGTGCCTTTTTGCCTCAGTGGGGCACTGCTGGGAAGCTGTGGGCAACTTAGACTGGAGCAGGGCCACTCTGTTCCTTCTGCACAGCGCTGCTGACAGGCACTCCTGGAATTTGCCTTGAGGCAGGCCAAGATGCAAGAGAGGAACAAAAGGGAGGGGGAAAAAGAAAAGCCCCAAAGATTCTGCCTTGAGCAAAGATAACAAGGCAAGAAGGGTGTGCCTGAGAGACCCCTGACTTTGAAAAGGGGTCTTTGCACCTTGCATGTCAACTTTCATCCATGGCACTGGATCTTAAAGAGACAGTAATAAGTTTGGGCACAGATAAATATGGACTACAATAACATCTTGGGTTACCCAGGAAACATGCTTATTTGAAGTGAGCCAATCTTCCTTCCTGCCCTTTCCCAGGCTCAGCTTGCCCTCAGACTTCTCTCCTCCTGCTCATTACAGCTGCAAGTCATACTCCATGCTACTACCCAAGTGCAGGGTACAGGGTCTGTGTACAGTGTAGGGGCTCTTGCTTTGCCTGTGCTCCCACCTGGCTTCTCTGCAGACTGCAGTCCCTTAAGGGGTGGGAGGGGGTGGCCCTGGCTGGCAGGTGACCCCCCCATCCTGCTGCCCACTCCCACTCCCTCAGGGGGACAGGAGAGAGACTCACAAAGGCATGAGAAAACACTCATGGGTCAAGACACAGACGGTTTAACAACGGAAAGAAGCTCTCTCAGGAAACACTTTCTCATATCACACTGTGGCCAAGGATGGCAGGAAACTCTGGGGACCATTGGGCCCAAGCCCTTCTCCAAGCAGAGTCACCTATAGCCCAGCTCAGGAGGTCGTTCAAGAATGATAGATAATTTAAAAAGCATAAGCATGGCAACAAAAAACTGCCTGAGTGTGGCCTTGGCATGTCTGAAATCTTCAATTCCAACCTCGTCCCATTACATTTTGAATGCATAAGTAATTACCCAAAGTGTAGTGTAGTGGCAATATCTAATGAAAAATGTTCAATTTTGACCCTTTTAAAGCTGTGAAGCATAGTACTGATGTCCATCTAATACTAGAAACCTCTGCTGTTTCTTTGAGGGAAAGAGTATCTTCTACATGGGTAAGTCTGATTAAAATAACACACAGTTCCAAATTGATGCTTGTTTTATTAGAATACCAGATAACATGAAATTCACAATTTATGACACTTAAGCATCAAAATCCTAAAGTTTCTTGCTTTATTCCAAAACCACTAAGATGTGAAGAAAAACCCAACATATTGTTCTAACCCAACATCTTCAGAATGTTACTTTGAAAACATTAGCAAAGTAGAATTTAATTTAAAACATTTAATAGCTGAGATAAGCAATGCATGGAGAAAGGTTTACAATGCTTACAGAAGAAACAGTGCAACCCAATATTCGTACTACAAATCTACCTTTCCACAACAATTAGTACTTCCAGGTCAGTTTTTTCCACCAAAAAGATGTTGTAGTGGCGAAAAGATGATGCTGGGGAAACAGTAACAACAAGAAGAGCACGTTAGACTTAAAATACTTCTCTGAATATCGGGAAAAAAGCTGATTTCTGTGCGGAAGGATAAAATACTAGTATATAACAATAGAGAGGGAAACCGAAAAAAATAGAGGAAACATTGAATAAGTTGTGCACTAATGGTCTGGTCTCAGTCATTAAAGGAATGGCACACTTTACAATTAACAAGGAGTTTTATTTTTGAAAAAAAACCCCAAAAACCAGCAGCTGCCAATATCCACCTGGTTCTGTGCAGTGATGGCTGGCACTCACAGGATCCAGCCTCAGCCGCATGAGAGAACTCCTTTGGCCAGCCAGCAGATGTCTGAACAGTGACACTGATTTCCATTTAAAATGGTGCCTTTGGGAATCAAAGTCCAGATTTGTTCAATGGCCAAATGAAGGTCACATGCAGCTTCATGGGGCTGACAATCTGTCCAGGAAGACCCTTTTAGTTGGCACTTGCAGCTGAGAAAAGCCACTTTGTATAATGGCTGTGATGGAGATTCAGTCACCCTCTCTCATCAGGAGTTTTTTCCCAAAGACAGCTCAGAAGAGGAACATTTAGTGGTAATGCTGCCCCTTAGCATGAGATAAAATGACATCCCTTTTTTTTTGCCTTGGGAGACTTTGGTTTAACCACAGAAAAAATGTCTCCGTCCTTCAAAATTATGGAGAACAACCTGGCACTGCCAGAATCAGCCTTTAACACAGCCTTGGACAGAGCCAGGACTGCCTCTGCTCATCAGGGTAGGATTAGTACCTTCTCCAGAACTGTGAGAGACCTCTTCCTTCTGACTTCATGTTTCCTTTTTTTCCTGTTTGGTCCACTTGCTGCAGCAGCTGCACTGTACCCTCAGCCTGATTGACTGCTCTTTTTTGTTCAAGGGCAAATTCCACAGGCCCGCCTGTAAGAAACAGCAGCAAGAACAAAACCACAACCTCGCTCTCTACACACTCCCTGTGTATCCAGGGCAATGAAACTCAGTGGAAACCAGGAATTCCTTACTCACAGAAACTCAGTTGGTCACAGTCTTTAGTAAGGGATGCTGTGCTGAACTCAAGCTCATTTGCTTTGGAGGAATTCTAAAAGGAAAAGTAACCCAAGAACTATTACATAGTACTAAGTTCTATTGTACAGAGATTTTTGTTAGCCTGCTTCCTAAAAGTATTAAAAAGCAAGGTTTAAGTCTTTGTTGTGTGGTTTCATTTGGGGATTTTTTTCTGTTACAATAAGGACTTTCTTCACCAAGGTATTTTTACACCTCCTTCACCAGGACATTACATAAAGCTGTAATTTATTTAGAAGATTTTAGCATACCAGATAGTGAACTAATAGTAGCTATGGAATAGGCAGAGATTTCAAAAAACATCAACCGAAGAGCTGTGGGAAACGACAGCCCCTGGACAGTGCAGGCCCCTGGAAATTCATCCTTCTAGGACATGGTCCCGGGACACAGACTTAATTCGGAAGGGTCAAAAATGAAATGTTCCAGAAGCAAGAGGTGGGCCAGGAATACCCATTAGGAAGGTGATCAACAACACAAAGTACCACACAAAACAAAATAAGCATATAGAAACACAGCAAAATCAGCAGGTAAGCTTCTAAAAGAGAGTAAACAGGTCCTAATGGTGTTTCCCTTGCACTAATCTCAGAACCATTTTGGTTGGAAAAGCTTTTTAAGATTGAGTCCAGCTGCTAACCCGCCATTGCCAAGGCCGTCACTAAACCATGTCCCCAAATGCCACATCTCAGCTCAGGTTAACACAAAATTCCAAGCCTCTGATGGCCTGAGATCTTTGCAGTTTAGTCTGAGAGCATTAACGAAGTTAGGAAAATTCTCTGGAGTGACAGGCTGAGTCTCTTTATTTGACTCTTACTGGTGAACTGTGTAAGTGAAAAGACATGCAGGTTTGACCACATTCATCCTGACCAGATGTCACCATCACAGGCCTGGGAGACATTTGGATGACAGCTGAAAATGCAGTCTATTGAACAGTCATGTGCTTGTGGAAATTCTTTGCTCCTCATTCCAAATCCAACATCCCTAAGTCGATCCCACACATACTACGTAGACAGATTTCCTTCCTGCTTAATGAAACCCTTCCCTTTTTGAGAAGCATTATGAAATAACAGGTGGATTTGAAACCAAAGCCATACACTGTTGATAAATTGAGAAGAAGCCTTGGAAGAACAACAAGAAAAACTCCAACAAAGTATAGGAGCTACTGACATGTTTTTATCCTAAACCTAATCTTTCTTCTCATCCTGAATTAAAAGAAAAAAACCAAACAAAACCCAAATGGAAAGCATGTCACAGAAATATTTGGCTTTCATCTTCTAAAAATGCGTGTCAGGACTTAAGAAGAGGACTTCTGCCCATGATTTCACACAGTACTTGTGACACCTGACTGGTGTTTATCAACAGAACAGTCTGCGTCCAGACAACCCTCTCAGTTTAACAGTGCCTTAACTAGTGCAATTTCGAGGACAAGTCATGATGTCACAAGCAGCTGTTCCAGAGAAGGTTCTTTTCACCTGGATTGGTATTTACTGAGTTATTTTTATCACAGTCCCAGTTTACCTGGAAAGTGCTCATGACATGCCCTCCCACATTAGTTAACACAAGAAGAACTTAGTGTAACATCTGCCAACTGTCATACTGTTTCTCAGAGTCCAAGCTGCTAACCTGGAGCTCCAGCATTCAAGGACTCTAATGTCTTGAAAACTGTATAAACAACAGAGGAATTCTGATGACATTGATTATATCAAAGTGGAGAACAAAAGAAGCATCTTTCAGAAAATGATCCTTATCTCACCAACAGTGTTTGCTGTACCTGAGGAAAGAAGCCAGAGAGGGCACGTGTAGAGACCTGTCACTTATACTGCAAAGATAAGCAGAGGGGGGTCGGGAAAAGGGATACAAGTTTTACAGACAAATAAACCTGCTTTTTTTAGGTAAGTTACTCTTTACTGAATGCTCCCAAGGAGTTATTAGTCAGTCTTCTTCCTATCCTGCAAATCCAACAAACCTGCCAAAAACCTTGTTCTAAAATAATGTATTGGGCTTCTTTTGTGAGCAAACCCAAGAGAAATGTGTTTGCCTCCTTGAAAAAAATTCTCTTCCAAAAAGCTAGAGAGGGGGAAAAAGCCAGAAAGGTGATAGTGTAGTAGGGATTTGAATTAAATTTAGAATGGGTATCCAGAAAATATATGATGTGCATTTGGAAGGATGTGCAACATCTAGGAGGACACAGCTGTTAAGGTGTGACTAAGAGCAGCTCTATCTGAGCAGGCTTGGAGCCTGTGGGCTAGAAGAAAAAGAATCTTCTCCTCCTAACAAGGTCTTTGGAGAACACAGAGCAACAGCCAATCCCTCCGGAACAATCCTGTCATGAATCTGCCTTCTGGTGACGTAGTGAGAAAAGGCATGGCACTGTTTCAGGAACAGGGTGATGCCTGCACAGCCATCAGCAGAGAGAGGGACACTGGTGGGGAGTGGCACATGGTCACAGCAACGCCAGTGACAAGATGCCAGCACTCACTGTTGGCCCTTTGTGGAGTTCTCCATAAAGGGGCATGTGAGATGACAGACGACTGGAGTCCTGGAGAGAAGGCAGGGCATCCCTCAGGCTCACCTCTCAGAGGCTGAGCTTACCCCCGTGCTTGTAGCTTGACAATCAGAAAAGTTTGCGTAATCTCAAAAAAAATGTAACTCATCCCTTTGTTAAGTCTCGTGAGGAGTCAAAAATGATGAGGGCGATGCAGGGAAAAAGGGGACAAATTACCTGCAGGCATTTTTATGCTTGCCACTGTAAGGGTCCAGGACTAAATAGGTGATGTTGTTTCTTTCTGAATTTTCTGTAGCTTACCTTTTCAAATCCTTGCTCTGCTTTACTCATGTGGTGAACACAGTCAGCTCCAGTTCTAAAGAAAAGTAAGTAAAAACTGAGTTTACAAAAAGGAAGCAGCCACTCCAAGTACTTCACTAGAAACAAGGACTTTAGTAGACTCTACTCAACAAGATATATACCCTTAATCTATATTTGTACTCATGTTTCAAAGTCTTCCTTAAAAATGAAAATATGCACTCATTCTGCTTTTCTGCTGTTGGGAAGGATGAAAGTTTGACAAGAAAATCTCACAGACATGTATGCTTGGCAGAAAGGTTTTTAAATGTAGAGTCTGATGAAGGAATAGAGATGGAAGCAAATTTTGATATAGAAGAAAAGAATTGCTGAGCCAGTCTTACTGGATAAACAAGAAGGCAAAGGGGTTAGTCAGAAGGGGTTTTTATGACTTAGAGCAAAGGATAAACCCACCTCAAACAAGATCTTTTTACCAAGCAGAAAGATAGCACAGGCAAACAAGTCAGCAAAGTTGCAAGTAGAAAAAAGGTCTCAGAATTTTCCACTGCAAGAAAACTGAAAAACAACTTCTAGCTTAGACTGTAATGTACTGACTTTTAGTGATTGGAGAATAGTAACATGAATATGGTAATTACAGTAGTTATGACAGGCTATAGATAATAGTTAAGGTATAGATTGGTTCTACTGTACTAAGATGCTAAGCAAAGAAGAGTATATAATACAATGTAAACAAAACCAAAGGGTCTCCAGGCCTGCCTGCAGCTGGGGCTGACAGCTGTAGGCACAGGCTCTGTCACCCACAATCTTGGACTGCTGTAACATCTTGGATGGAATAAACTGCATTTTGGAGAGCTGCCTGGAGTCCCTCATCTCTCATTTAGGCTCTTACATTCTACGATGAAAAACAAGCAGTTAAAGAGAAAAAGCTTTACCTGAATAGGGGGATGAGCAGAGAGTTGAGAAAGCTTGTGAATCCTACAAGGTTACAAGGGCAGGTAGTAAAGAACCACAGAAAGATCTTGCAAGACTTGGTCATGGGGCATTAAAATGGCAGAGGAAACTCCATATGGGGAAGTATGAAGGGATGCATGTGCAGAAAAACCACCCTGGCTTCACTTGAGGTGATCAGAATCACTGGGAGTGCCACTTGGAGATTCTGATTTCTCAACACTCAGTAGCACCCCAAGAAAATCCAAATTCCCCAAGACAATTTAGGAGCAAAAGAGATTGCCCAGAAAGAAGAGAAGACAGAGAGCTGGTCTCATTGCAGCAGACACACTCCTTCCTGGGGCAGGGAAGATGCTCAGCCTGAATGAGCTCTTCAATCTAACAGTCTAACCGGAAAAAATGACAGAAGGCTTGAAGCTAGTGCTCACCAATTTGATTTTGAATTCAAGCATACACTTAAGAATTACAGATTGTTCTAATCATAACTGCTGTGGCAAGATTCAGGACCTAAAGAGAACTGCCAGACTGGATCATGAAATAGCCCTTTTTGACCTTGTATTTTATTAATCTACAACTTGTGTCTTTGGCTAAAAGAAATAAAATTCTGAATCCTGGGCTCATTCCTCCCTCATATTCAACACCTGTACTGTGAGTAGAAACAGACATGGGGGATAGGGGTGGGATTAAAGGAGTACATTTGCATGAGCAGGAAAAGAACTGGCTTCAGACTTTGTTAATATCTCTGCATGAAACATGCTTGGGAATTGGGTAGGATATAAGGCACCAAGGTAGATGATTGGATATAGTCTGTACATGGGAGGGGAAAGGTGCGCACTGATGGATCCAGGACTGTTTGCCACAAACTTGTGAGGATTCAGCATAGGTATAGATTTTCTTCTTTTAAAAAAATACACTCTAAGAAGAAAGAAGTCTGCCAGCCTGTAAGTAACTGGATATCTGAGAGGTAGTCAAGAACTAAGCACAAGGTTCACCAAGAGCCAGCCCTGTACCCTCATGCGGAAGAGTGATTCAGCTGAGCTGACTGATTCACCCTGACCTGAATTAGGCAGAGCTCTGCCAAACCTCTGCCCTCAAGCAGTGATCTCTCCCCTCTGCTCAAGGCTGCTGAGACCCCTCTGCCCCAGTATGGACTGAAAGCCCCAGCACATGAGTGGGACTCACAGCAAAGGGCCAGATGCAAACATGATGATGAGATTGGGGAATTTTTTTTCAAGTGGAGAAGCTTTAAGAGACGAGGCTGTTTAGCCTGGAGAAGGCTTGGATGGGATCTTACCAATGTACACCTGATGGGAGGAAATGAAAAACAGAGAGCCAGACTCTCCTCAACCTTCTTGTTTTCTGGCAGGACAAGAGGTAAATGGCACAGACTGCAAAACATGAAATTAAATTTGAACACAAGAAAAACCTTTTTGACTGGAATTGTGGTCATACACTGCAAGTGGCTCTCCACAGTTGTGGTGGTTCCACCCTCACAGTCTACTCAAGACCTGAGGGAACTTGCTTTGGGTGACCTTGCTTGAGCAGAAGGGGTCTGAACCTTGATATCAAAGGACCTGTCCAACCTCAACCATTCTGTAAAATCCAGTGACAGAGATCTACTTGGAAATCACCATGAGAAGTTTAGCTACTGAAGAAATATGGTGAAGTTGTGTGAGAATACTCACATAATGCATGCAATTTCATGAGACTTTAAAGCACTTGGAAAAGAGCAAGTTCCAAGGTGTTGCCATCAGCCTCAAGCCAAGAGGGCAGCATTTATCAGCTGACTCAATGGAGCAGGCTGGGAGGCAGGTGGAAAACTGCTTCCAGTTCTTCCCTTGCTGTCCTGAACTCAGGTGTGTAAGCCAGTGCACTGCTCTGTCTGGCCGCTGAGCTATCACCTCACTGTGACTCAAAAGGTGATGTGAACACAGAGGAGTTAAACAGGCAGAGCTCTGGTCAATAGTATGGGAACTTGGAAAGTACGGGACCGCTTTTTTCCCAATATGAGCAATGATGCTTAGATTCTGTTAGCCAAGGAAGAAAAGGAAGAAGGAAAATGGGGCAAAGGATTGCACAGAAATGAAGCATGAAGAAGGTACAAGAGACATTAAGAATATTAGTATGTGTCCTGGGAGACTCTTTTGCAGTCAACTTACCTGTCCATACAGGACTGTGGGCATGAGGTATCATCTCTGATTTCCACTCTTCTCCTCTTCACTGCTTCTTTCATTGCAGTACTTTCTGACATTTCATTTCTTTTCCTGACCTTCAAAGGATTGCAAGTTTGGTATTGGTAACAATTGATTTTGACTTTTCTATTTTAGAACAAAATTCCTAGTTGAAGTACATTCATATTTTGCAAAAATTGTTCCTGCTTATACTCTGAAAACAAATAAAAAAAGGATTCAAGACTAAAACAAGCACTGGGAGGTCAGCCAGAGAATTATGCTCAATAGTTTTAAACAAAGTATTTCTTTCTAGGGACATCCTATTTCGTCCATTTTCAGAGGACTGCCAAGGAATGTAAATAGCAGGAATGCAGAGATAGAAAAAATTCTTTAGGGGAATTTGGACACTTCCTTGGGGGAATTTGGATTTGAATTATTCTTCATTAATTCACTTCAGACACTTACCTATATTGAAAATAATCCTATCCTGAACTCTCATTACACAAAAACTTCTCAAATGAGCATAACTTTGCTGTTTATGACACATTACCTAGGGAACTTAATTACTCAGAAATATCAACCTCACAGATCCTTCCAGTGATGAAAACACTGGACAGCTCACTCAGTCAGGCTTGCAGAAAATCCGTAGAACTGAAGGCAGCAGGCTCTTAGGTCCTGATACAGGACTGCTTTCCAAGCTCAGCAGAACTGTCAGAAGAATGTCTCTCCCCTTGGTTCTGCATGAGAATTCGGTGCCACTTTACACTGCCTAACTCCTAGTGGTAGGAGAACTCTAGCATTGCCTAAAGGCATAGATTCTGTTTCTCAAGAATACTTAGAACATATATTAAACAACAAAATAAAACCAAATGCACAACTTACAAGCTCATCACTGCCCTTGTTTACTTCTTTACCTGCAACAGAAGTATAAAACTTGGTGAATATTTGGACTCAACTTTCTTTAACCAACTGAAAAGTATATTTTTGCACTGCAATTTCTCTTCCAGGAGCAAGATAAACTACTGTGAAACAGTCTGGACCTGCATATGATACACTGAAATAGAAAACGTTCAACTACAGCTCTTTCTGAACTGGAATTCCTGGCTATGAACACCAGATATCATTGGGATGGGACAACTGCTTGTATGAAAGAAGTCAAAGGTATCTTCAGAAGAGAAGGGCCTGAAAAACAGTTAGCATCTCGCTGTGCTTTGGGCACCAGATGGAAGATGAAAGGACATCTGGATCACAGCCTCTAGAGAATACTGGCCAGCTGTAGGATGTATGGGATTCACACATATTTCCCTGACGAAAAATCCCCACCAAGAGAAATGTGAGACTTCAAGTCTGAAAGTAACAGTGCCTTACACTGCTCCTAATTTCAGAATAGCAATGCTGTACAACTATCTGGATAAGGCAATTAAATACTGCAGCAGGTGTGCAGGGAAGTGAGTGAACTCTCCATGGTTAGAAGTCTTTACATCCAGACATGGTACGTTTGATAGGAAATGCAAATAGGCGAGACTAAGAAAGTTGGCCATCTTATAAAGATCCCATTATCTGCTAGGCAGTCATTAAAGAAAAACAGTAAGTTTTTCCAGAGACTGATAATCACAGCAGGAAACACTTTAAATACTCAGTTTTCACATCAGGGGAGTTTTAATGTAGAGTCCCACAGAGTCCTTAGCTGTGGCTTGAGGTTGTTCAGAAAATTCGTAGAAAACCTGGAAACTGAGACACTGTTGAGGTGAAAATGTTGGCTAATTGTATAAAAGATATTATTAACATGATTACTATCATTTGTTTTTTACAAAAATCTATTATTTCTTTAGGAACATAGCAACAAAGAGTGTGATTTTCTATGTCAACAAATGTAGTCATGCACAAGGAAGAAAAACATGTGTCCCATATACATTTATGTGCTGGCTCCAGCCCACTGACTGACATAAAAAAATGAAGGTTGGGAGCCACTGGGCATAGCTTCATGAAAATACCAGCTAAAGAGTCACCAGTGGTTGGAAAGACAAAGGGGAATTCAGGGAATTTTAGACAAGCAATATGAGACAGTAAGGAACACCCTCTTAAGCACTATTTCAAACTCATGGTACAGGCATCCCACATGCAGTTTTGCTCTCTCCGATTCAGATACAGTGACAAAGGAAAAGAGAAAAGCAAGACATAGATCATAGATGTTTACAGAAATTACCCAAACATAATCACAGTGACTTACCACAAGATATATTTTGCTGAAATGAGTTCAATTCTAGATACAGCGTACAAATGTAGGGATAAGGCATGAGATGGACATTCTCATGTTTGAATTTCATTTTTGATACTCGCTCCCATTTACTCAAATCTGAGAAGAATGGTAAGACCAAAAAACACAACACTAGCATTTCAAGGAAACATGAGTCCTGAAAATGTCTTCTAAAGCTTCAGAAATCACAGCACACTGTACATGTGCACAAGGGAGCAAATACAACCTGTTCTATGAACTTGTGAAACTGCACTAGTAACACACTACAGGAAACACTTATCCATTTTTATTTATCCACACTGTCCCATCAGTCACCTGTATTAACAGTGTTCTGTTCCCTTAACTGTGCTTGCCTTCAGTACTAACACCCTCCTGAAAAAGCTAACCCATGGCCTTCCAAACCTATAAATGAAAAAAAAAACAACCCTTCAACAGTCTTTCTAATTAAAAAGGAATTATTTTAAAATTTTATTTAAAAATTAAAAAGGATTTGGATTCATAGAAGCAGCACGTCCGGGTTTGAAAGGGAAGTGAGTTTTTCAGGATGCTGTGGTCAGACCAATAGGTGCTCAGATTTGAACATTGGCACCTGGTGTGGCCACTGAGAACATGGATACGCCTCTGAGAACACGGGGTTAAAAGCAGAGAACTCAGGGGGAAGGTCTCTTGGGTTCCGTCCATGAAGGAGGTCAGAGCTGCCCTGCCTGGCTGCGGGCTGGGAGGGAGAGGGGAAGCTATGTGGCCGAGTGAGGTGAGCCGGGCCTTGGACTGAGAAGGGAGGTGATGGTCCCTGAAGGATGGAAGGGTGGAGGAGCACTGAGAGACATTGGGCAGCCCCTCCCCTCCCCCAGGAGAGAGAGAGAGACAGAGCCGGTGCCTGTGCCTGTGCCAGCTTGAAATTTGATAGTATGGCCAGCTGAGAAGGAAAAGGGGGGGGGGTACAGCAAGATGGTGCCCGGCAGGGCAGCGTGGGAGTTCTGGACAGGCAGAGCCTGAGATTTTTAACCCTTTTCTTGGGTGATGGAAACCTTACAAAGGCTGATCCTCCTGGAGTTGAATGAGAAGAGAGATAGAGATGAGATAAGAGGAAATAGGCCAATGTGATGCAAGTTTGTGCAAGTGAAAGATGTCCAAGAGAAGTTGAGAAGAATCCTAGGTGGGAGGAGATGATGGAGTGGCCTTTGGCTGGACTTGTATAGCCATGGATAGAACCATTTTTCCTGTGACACAGAGACTGCATTTAGCAGGAGGCAATGGCTTGGAACCAAGAGAGTGCAGTGATGTTATAAGAAGGAGTGCATGAACAGAGACGAGGTGAGGAGGGTGGTGGTGAGGAGGGTGGTGGTGTCCTCCATCTTCAGGGAAGAAGAAGATCTCTGTTCTCGAGACCCCCTCGGCCCAACGGGGTGAAATTTGGGGGGGACAGGTGTCCCAAAAGTGAGGGACTGTGCTTTTTTTTGGAATTGGGCAAAGCATCCTCAAAAGGGGAACCTCAGAAGCAGCTCTGGTCTGTGTGCAGTGGTGAGAGCACTGGGCATGGAAGGAAGGTGTCACAATGGCAGATGATCTCCAGGTGGTGCCACATGTGACATGGAAACACAAGAGGTCTCAAATGTGTTCCCAGGGGAAGCCTATGGTACAAGAGGGACTCCTCTCTCCTTGATGAACCAAGAATTATCTAAAGGGTGGTGATGGACTGAGAGTTGGTGATCTGAGGGGTACTAACGGAATTGAGAATCCAAGGTTCTGTACTACTGTAATGTATTGGAAATTTGGTGGGGGGAGGAGGAATGTTTTTAGAGGGTTTTCATTCTGAGTTCTGTGTGTGGTTTTTTTTTATATAGCTGTAGGTTAATAAAGTTTTTTTTCTTTATTTCTAAGTTGGAGCCTGCTTTGCTGTATTCCTGGTCCCATCTCACAGCAGACACCAGGGAGAATATATTTTCATGGGGGCACTGACATTGCACCAGTGTCAAACCATGACACAACATCATTAAATTTACTTCACAGTTCAAAACAGGGGAAAAAAGATAATTGACATGACAGCCATTCCTTCATGTGAGTGCAGTTCTGACATGCAGGAGCTTCTGCTTGGAAGGTCAAATGGTGCTGGACATAAGTCTCCTTACACACCTCTGATCTCAGGGTGAAATGAATACTGTTAGTCCTCATTTGCTAGGAGAAACTAATGTCTTGGGGACAGAAGACGATGAAACATTGATACAATCGGTTCCTTTCAGGACTGAAACTGCCTGATTTTTAGCTTGAGGGACTCATCATCGGGGATTAACAAAGACACTGTCACTCTGCAGAGAGGAGCCCGACACACCAACTGTCAGACAACCCCTCATGCCAGGCCTCTGAGCTCACAGTTCTCTTCCAGGCCCAGTGCTGGCTGAGCATGTGGATGGACTTACAAGTTCTAGAAATACAAGTTTGTAAACCAAACACTCTTCAATACACAGACAGAACTGGTTGAGCTTTAGAGCAAACTAATAAAGTTGGTTGGATTGGGTGTCTTCTGTATAATGATGCTCTTGGCTACCTTATCTTCTTGACTAACATAAGTAAGTTGCTGTCATATGTACCTGCTTCGGACAGAGAAAAAGGATGGCCTCATTTCTCATTCAATTATGCCTGCTATTAGGAGGCATAATGTAGTCTTCTAAGACAGGAGGGGAATGCCTCAGAGGTTTTCATTACTCCAGGGCACTCAGAATCACAGGAAGTGATGCCAGATCTGATCCAAAAATGGACACACCTTTAGGACTGGAAAACTAACATTTAACTGGATTACTTTTCTCTTCAACAAAAGTCTCAGGAGAGTAAATTCTCAACCTAATACACAACAGCAACTACTAAGAGAAATACTAACAGTTACCATCTCTTTTATCAAGTGACTGTCACTTTAAATTAAAAATCTGCAGAACATGTAGCAAACATGACTAAATTCTGTCCAGTTGCCCAAGCCAGAAGAAAAAAAATGAAGGCCACTTATGTATTCTGATGATAGAACACCTAGAAAGAGGAGAGCCTGTAGTACAGCCACTAGCTAGAATAATCCAATCTCAAATGCCTCAGCACTTCTGTATCAAAAGTGAAATCCTGGGAAACTACACTCCTCAAAACCTGTGCTTCTATATGACTATGCTGTGCAATTGCACACAGCTTTTACAGCACTGTCTGTGGACAGCAGGCCAGACTGACAGCAGCTCAATGCCTCTGCAAACTTTAGGGAAGACAGAAAAGATCTGCTGACTGGTCCCATAGGGGTGAGAGGCATGAGTGCAGTAAAGCGAATACTGTGCCAATGACATTTGCTTCACAATTGTTTCTAGGCTTCAAGGACTGAAGAGGGAACCAGGATAACTGGATGACAATCCTGCAGGCTTTGTGTGTTTAAAAGCCTGTCTGGACTTCCAATTATCTTAGCTCAACTACTGCTTCTTGTAAAGCTCACTCTGTGAGGTACTTTTGGCTTTTCTCAGCCATCTCTGTGGAGACATGAGTGCAGATTCACACTTGCTCCAATCTTCCATCCCCAAAGGCTCATGGTGGTTTAACCTTGAGGGACCTAACAAAAACAAATATGTGAGTTTCCCTGCTCATGAGACAGCATTGTTGGGCCTGTAAGGAGTGTTTTACATTCCACGAACCTTTGGGAAAAATGCACCGGCTGTGCTTCTGAGCACATGAGATGGGCTTCCTGGCACTTTATGTATACCTTTGTTTGCTCTGGCTAAACCTGATTTGGAACACAGGGCTGTTTGGATGAAAACACTGCAAAACACTCTTGTCACATCAGTTCTCTGGTGAAGGCAACACCTGAGGTGCTCACAATACCTTCAGCCAATGTCAAACTGCAAAGATTGAAGTAGTACTACTCCAGCTAAAGAACTACACACTCCTACACATAAATGTTGACTTATGCAATGCCCAAAAGATACAAGCCATTGAATCTTTTTTTTTTTATGAGTAGGACAGAAAGGATACATGGAAAGATGGTGAAGTGGTCTGTAGAAAATGGATGTAAATCATCAAGATTTCCAAGGATTACTCGAATCACTTCCTGGAGAGGCCAAAAAATAAACAAAGGAAAAATATTAAAAACATAGTGACAATTCCACTGTCAAGTACACTTTCAAGACTTGGGGAAAAATTAACATTACTTTACAGTTTGCATGAATTGTGGAAGACCAGGTTCTAGATATTCTGCCTTTCTTCCTCCCCTTCTTCTCCCCACTCCCTCTCACCATTTTAGAGTGTACTACACTGACAGACTCATAGAAATTTAGGTGAATGAGTACCTTAATCTTGAATTAAAATAGAAGAATTACTATGGAAAATGGGGGTGTGCTTTTAAATTTAAGGAGTGTAATTTAATTTTTCCAGCAAAACACACACAGCATTTACTTACTCCTCTTTCTCTGAATATTGACCCAAATCAGTTATAAGGCAAATGCAGTTAAGCCCCAACAAACTCCTCTACAAACACAAAACATTTTCTAGTAATACCTTTCAACATTTTCAAAAGTTAAAAAAATTATACTTCTTCATATAAATTAAAATCAGCACATTTCCTTCATTAAGGTTTTCAATGCCATTACTTTACTTTGAAGTTTTTTAGAAATTAAGTAATAGGGAGGAGCATTTTTAAGCAGGCAGTATATTTGTTTCAATTTCTTAGAAATGGCAGGGGCCTTCTTCTGTGTCAGGAAGAAGATGACAACAACACAACTCATCCATTGTAACCATCAGTTTGTGCTTGGACACAAAGCAATGGCATCATTAAAAGAACACTCATTGGTTCAACAGTTGCAAGGAAAGCACATGCAATTTAGCATTTGATTAGCCTCCATCGAGCCAGCTCACCATACTGCCACAGCTCCTGAAAAACCAAGACGGATTAACAGCTAAGTCAAGTCTGACAACTTGAAAGTTTCGAGGTTGAGACTGAAATCCTGGGAAAGAGCTCCTGCAAGAATGACTCTGAAGAGGAATCAGACAGGAATTGGGTGCGACTAGCTCAAGAAAGAGGAGTTTCCCTTTGTCCAATTTCAACAGTCAGTAGCTTCTTTGGAATATTTCAAACAAAAGCATGACTCTTCTGCACTAAATTTTGCCTGTTGAGGAACATTTTTCATTTGTGTGTTTGTTTTTGGTTTTTTTTTGTTTTTTTTTTTCATGCTCAGATTCTCCAGGGAAGTTTCCCCTATGTTCCCCATTGCTCACACTTGAAATGCTGCATTTGACACAATGTTCTCAGTCCTGTAACAACCATATTATTTGTTTAGACTAACACCCATCTGAAGTCCTATGGACCTGCCTCAGCTCCTACCTCCGACTCCTTGGCAGCGCTTTCAGTGAGACTGAGATTGGGAGAGCTGTGAAACAAAGAGAGAATTGGAACCATCCCAGTCAAAATGCAATGAAGTTACATTTCAAGTAAGAGTTTAAACAGAAACAAAAGATAATTTCCACTGAACAGGAAAAAATACTTAGTGGGCAGATTAATTCCTAACCTATTACTCTTAAAAAACATCCCTTGTTCACAAGGATTGTTCTGTGTGACCCTTCTATCCACCTGCGTTTTGTTTTTTAAGGTTGTGTATTAACTCACTGCCACATGCAGCCAACAAACAGCAGACTGACTTCTTGGCTTTAACACACATACCTGTTGAAGTTGCCATACCGGATTTTAAATTTGTACACATGCCTGCCAGCATGAAGAAATCTTGTTTCGGGCAATGGATAGGTGAATGGTTTCAACGACATCTCTCTCTCTCCCTGAATGCCAGACTAGGAAAGCAGGACAGTCAAAGGTTAATTCCTAAAACCCCTCACCACATCTCTTTCTGTCGTATGGAAAGATTATATGCAGTTTTTCTTCCAGGGGACATTTGCAGAGAGAACTCTCCTACCAGTCAGCAAACGGCTGATCTGAGTGTCCCGTGTCAATAGCGCTGTGTTTTTGAGCAGGATCCGAGGACAGGCCTAGAGCAGACGGTCACCTCGTCTTCAGCTGCACTGCCCTGCAATTGCCTCTGCCGAGGTCCCTGAAGCTCTACGGGACTCGTGCTACGGGGATGGCGAGCCTCCTTTCCGCCCCCCGCCCCCGCCCCCGACTCCTCCGCGTAGCCCTGTGGGGCCCGTGACCGGCACCAGATGCGAAGGAAGCCGTGGATCCTGGCTACCCCCGAGAGTCCGGCCCGCAAGAACTCATTGCTCTCCACTCCACCGCACGTCCCCGGTGCCCCCCAGCCACTGCAGCAGCAGAGAGCAGTGCCCGGTCGCCCCCGGGCTGGGGCGGAGAGCCCAGGCCCTGTGGTGCAAGGCCTGGCCCTGCTGCGGACGCCGGCACAGCGTCTGGCCTGCCAGACGCGACATACCGCCGCCTTTCCCGAGTCGGGGGCGGCCTGAAAGGCCTCCGGACAGCTCCAGCGCCTACCGGCCACCCTCCGCTCCACGTCCAGTGGTCCCACTGTGCCCACCAAGCCCTCGCCTATGGCGGGGCCGAGCCGGGGCTGCGGTGCCAAGCGGTGCCGGGCACAGCCAAACCGATCCAAATGGAGCAGAACCAATGAGAGCCTAGCCGAACCTAGTGGAGCACAACCGAACAGAGCCAAATGGAGACGAACCAAGACCAGCCCAGCCGAGCCCGGCCTGATCCCGCCGAGCCCAGTTGAGTCCAGCTGCAGATAGGGAGGGGAGGCATGGCCCAGAACGGGTCCGCAGCTCTGCAGCCCCTTTCCTCGGAGGGGTAGCGGGACCGGACATCCTGCTGGTGGGTGCTGGAGTTGGCCGGGGTGCTGAGGTGGCATTTCAGATGAGGCAGAGGCACCAGGAGGCTCCAGGAGGCACTAGACCTGCGGCGAGAGGGGCTAGGGCTCGATCCTTAGCTCATACAGCACTTCTTTCTTTTCCCTTTCTGACTCACACAGCTCCCTCCCTGCTCCACTTCTGCTGCTTCCTGTTGTCCTCCCTTTATGTAGCTGGAATATTTTATATACTACATCTCTTTAAGAAAGACTGGAATTGAACGATCCTTCCTTTTCTCACAGTGTTAATTGTGACGGTGTTCACAGGGGTTCCGTCCTCACAGGATGAGGGAAGAAGAGACGAGGATTTGACTCCATGTTTCAGAAGGCTTGATTTATTGTTTTATGATATATATTATATTAAAACTATACTAAAAGAATAGAAGAAAAGGTTAGAAGGCTAAGCTAAGAATAGAAAGGAAAGAATGATAACAAAGGCAGCTGTCTCGGACTCTCTGTCCGAGCCAGCTGGGCTGTGATTGGCCATTAATTATAAACATCCAAGATGGGCCAATCAAAGACCCACCTCTTGCATTCCACAGCAGCAGATAACCATTGTTTAAATTTTGTTCCTGAGGCCTCTCAGCTTCTCAGGAGGAAAAATCCTAAGGAAAGGATTTTTCATGAAAAGATGTCTGTGACAGTTAATATCCAGGGACTGATACAGCATCCCTTGCTGTTCAGTCAGTGAGGTGAAGTCCACTTCCTATAAGCAGTGGCATGATGGTATCCCTCAGCATTGGTAAAGACATGATGTAGAGAATAATTCAGCAGCTGCAGAACAATTTTGAATTTATTTTCACTATCTTTTGGTTTAAAAAAAAAGCAAAATAAGCTTAGGGAGTCAAGAAGTAATTGATGCATTGATTTCATGCACAGGCAGGATATTGGTAACTACCAATGTTCAAGCAAGCAGATAACGCAGTGGAAAACACGCCTTCACTAACTACTCTAACCTTCTCTAAAGATGCTGAACCCACCCTTCTGGGTGCATCTCAGCAAAAAGGGCTATGTCCTGTTTGAGCTGCTCTTCAATAGCAAATGAGAGGCTCTAAGTTGGCTTTACAGTAAAACAGCACCCTCAGGAATCCCTTCAAGAAATCCTTGGGGCACACCAAGAGAGTCCTCAGCACTAATGGATCTTGCAGATAGGCAGAGTCCCATCTTGCCACGGTGTCACAAACTGATGCCTGAAAATTGGGAAAGAAAACAGTAGTCCATAGTATAGGGCCTACGGAGGAGGTATTTGTTTAATTGATGCCAGGAGTGAGGGGGATAGCTCCACCACAAACTCACTTGTCCATTCTTTGCACAGTACTACAATTATACTTTTTTACCTAAGTTGTATATGATACTTTTCTAACCTTCATATTGCAATGTATTTTCTAATTATATGATTATGTAAGCCCTTGTAGCACATGCACGGTTGCTGCATGAGATGATCGTCAGGCTCCTGGTGGTTGCTTTGGATGAAGGCTCGTAAGTCTTCCTGGGGTTTGAATTTTTCACCTCTGTTTTCGGTGCAAACTGTATAAGATTGTCTGCTCAAAGAGCCATTGGTTAGCTTTTGCAGTTAGCTTGTTTTGCTAAATTTGCTCATTTCACATACCCTGTTCCAAAGTAACTACACTTTCTGCATAGCTACAGCCTTTGCATAGCTCAAGCATTATCTTGTCACCTAGCCATCAGCACAAGGAACTCAATGTACATTGTGACACAGCACAGCCTCATGGCTCAGCAGACCATTGTGACAACCTGAAATCTCATGGATCCAAGCATCTACTTGGACAAAGTAGGGGCTCGTAGGACACAGGTGCCACTGGGACATTGCCACCTCTTGTAGAATCCAGTGTCCATTGTGACACAGCACAGCCAGATGGAGACATGGAGACCATTGGAATGGAATCTGATGGAACAAAGTGTCAATTGTGAAGACAGCATGGCCTCATGGAATTCAGGGGCAACTAGGACTGGACCATGGCTCATGGAAGCAAGGGGCCATTGTGACACAGCAGGGCCTCATAGAAACCAGGAGAACATTGTGGGACAATGGAATTCCATGGAAACAAGTGTCAATTGCCAAAATCTCGGGCTTCATGGAACCTAAGTGACCATTGTGACTCCATGGCACTGCTCATGGAAGCAAGTGTCCATTATGGCACAGCCAGGATTAGCAGAATGCAGGAGACAATTGTGATGCAGTGGAATCTCAAGACACCAAGGCTCCATTGTAACACAGAGGGGCCTCATGAAACCAAGGAGACTGTTAGGCAATGGAATCTCCTGAAACAAAGTGTTAATTGTCAACACAGCAAGGCCACATGGAAGCCAGGTGCCAATAGGATGTTGAAAGGTTTAAAAGCATCATGCCTAGGCATACTTGGGCAAGAATAAGATCCATTGTAGCCAATATAGAACCTGGCAAATCCTAGCCACAAGCTGGACACAGGATGAAACTGGGCAAAAAATGGGGAACAAAACTTCAAACAATGCAGTACAAAGCTTGCTAAAACCGGTGAGAAAATTGCTGAAACAGCTAACAAGAGACTGCTCATGCCTAGAGGAGAAAGGTGAAATGGGCACGGTGATAAAGACATCCAGCCTTCATCAGTGGACCACCAAGGAAGATGCAGAGCCTTCCTCAGTGAGACCTGGGTGCACTGTACCTCTGTTTTGCATATGCTAATGATAATGATGAGTTCTAAGAAATAGTTTGTATAACCACAACTTTTCTAAGGAAAACAATGCATGAAGTATAAACATGTATTGTAATCTGCTGTGTACCTTGGGTGTGGCGATGCTAGGAGGATTGATCCCTGTGCACCCAGCACACTAAATAAAGCAAATACCTGTTTCTTGGACTTTGTCTCAGAAATATCTCTTGGCCTGGTTTGGGGCGATTCAACATTTCAAAGGCTCATGCAAGCAAGTGTGCATTGTTGAAACAGCTGGGCCTAATGGAACACAATAGAACATTGTTACACAATGGAATCTCATGGAAGCAAGTGTCAGCACTTAGACACTGGGGCCTCATGGCACTGTAATGCAAGGAGTCTTGGGGAAAAAAGTTTCAATTTTGAACAACACAGCTCCTCATGGAACACAGGTGCCACTTGGATAATGCCAGGGCATGTGGAACTCAGTGTCCATTGTGACACAGCGCAGCCTCATAGAACTCAGCTGACCATTGTGACACAATGGAATCTCATGGAGCTAAAGCTCTACAATGACCAGGGTGCCTCTGGGACATTGCCAGGCCTAGCAGAAATAAGGCTCTGTTATTGTGCAGCAAGGCCTTATGACACCTGGGAGGCCACTGTGTCGCAATGGAATCTGATGGAAGCAAGTGTCCATTGTGACACAGGAGGGCATCATGGCGCCCAGGAAACCACTGTGACACAATGCAAGCTCTGGGAATCAAGAGTCAACTGCAAACACAACAGGATCTCCTTGAAGCCAGATGCTATTTGGATATTGGCAGGGCAGGTGGAACTCGGTGTCCATTGTGACATAACACAGGCTCATCAACAACAGGAGAGCACAGTGACACCATGGCATCGTGGTGAACCAAGCATCAATATAAACACATCAGGCTCTCATGAAACTAAAGAGAATTTTGTGATGCAGTGGAATGTCATAGATCCAAGGTTCTAGTTTGGGCAAGATGGACCTCATTAGACACAGGTTACTCTGGGACCTTGCCAGGCCTAGTAGAAACAAAGCTCCGTTATTGCACAGCAAGCCTCATGGGACCTAGGAGGCCACTGTGTCACAAAGCAGTCTGATGGAAGCAAGTGGCCATTGTGACACAGGCAGGCCTCATGGTATCCAGGTTGCCGTGCGGTGCAATCCCTGGGAACCAAGTGTCAGCTGCAAACACAACGGAGCCTCCTTGAAGCCAGGTGCTACTGGGATATTGCCAGGGCAGGCAGAACTCAATGTCTATTGTGACTCCAG